GGCAGGGACATGTACCGGCCGCGCCGCCGTTAGCGTAGGGACTTGGACTTGGCAACACCAACGCCGGCCAACGCTCACTGCGAGGCTCACTCGGCTCACTGCTGAACTCTGTTCCAGCCTTCTTGCTGGCAGACGCGGGCTACGATGTCTGGCTGGCCAACACAAGGGGTTCGACATACTCCCGGACGCACACCAAGTTTGCCGACAACGACTTCCGTTTCTGGGACTACACGTAAGTCGAGGAGGCAACAAACACATGTGCGCAGCTTTGAGGCATTACGCTTTCGTCACGTCGTGTCTTTTGTTTCATCCGCAGCCTTCACGAGCCAGGGGTGTACGACCTGCCCGCCTTCTTCGAGAAGGTGCTCAACACGAGCAGGGCAGACAAGCTCCACTACATCGGCCACTCGATGGGCACCACAATCTTCTACATTCTAGGCTCGACGCGGCCCGATCTCATGTCGAAGGTGCGCCTGGCCGTGCACCTGGCCCCCGTCACCTACTGGAGCCGCATACAGAGCCCCATGGCCAAGCGTGCCTTCCAGGCCGCCGCCGTCCTCAAGGTACCCATGGCAATGGCATGGCCTCTATGCACGTGCCACCACCGCTGGGCTACTTTGGCTCCTTAAACTTAACACGCACCTATCTTCTTTCGCAGAGACTCGACATGCCGATGCTGTTCGACAACTACTTCTCCCGCAGCAACCGCTCAGTCTTTTTGGCAGATACCCTCTGCCGGGACGGCTCTCCCGTGCAGACCATGTGTGCTGAGGTCCTTTTCAGTGTCGTGGGGTCCAACAGGGCACAACTTAACGCGGTAACTTCCCTCCGAGCAGATTCAAACGATTCTCTTCACTTCAAGGGCAATGAAAAATTTAAATCGGGTGGAAAGAATAGGTCTAATTTTGTTTTCGCTTCTTGATTTCAGAGCATGCTGCCAATGATTTTTGCTCACTTTCCAGCTGGTGCTTCAGTTGGACAAGTGGCTCATTACTACCAGAACTATGAGCAAGGTACAAAAAACCGCTCTCAAAATATTGTCTAGTAAATAACATGAATATTTTTACATTAACATTATTTTACCAACAGGAGTTTTTCATCAATTTGACTATGGAACTGAGAAGAACATTCTAAAATACGGCAAATCAAAGCCTCCAGAATATCAAATGAACAAAGTTAGTGCTCCAGTAGCAATTTGGTATGGACTAAATGACAGGCTTGTATATCATGAGGTGAGTTTTCAAATTATGGTGGGAGG